AAGTTTTTTTTTACTTTCGTAAAGCTTTTGCTAGAATAAGAGAAAAACTCAATTTATGAACAGTTGGGGCCTAAAGACAGACTGCGCAAGGCATAAAACCAACTGGCAAAGTTCAACTTAACTTGGCGAAATGCATTTAGCCAACACTTGGAACGCATTAACAAACAAGCATTTCAAATATAATTTACAAATATATGCAAAATTTGCAAGGCAAAATAAACAAACAAACACTCTGTAAGGGCAGAATCTCATAATATAAATGAATAAGTTTATGAATACTTAAATGAAATATATATATATATATATATATATATATATTATGCTAGGGATGCATAGATTTCATTCAGAAAATTATAATAATCATAAGAATCAGAATTTATTAATTTATTACTTTAATAAAGAAATTACATGTTAATTGAAGAATGTTAAATCTTGAATACATATAAAGTTGACTTTTAAAATGTTTTTAAAATATATATCTGGTCTTTACAACGATATTTCCTAAGAATCGAAATAATTCTTATGTTTAATGACATTCAAGAATAAACCACACGAGTGACATATAAATTTTCGCATTGTGTCTTCAATGTTACGTGGAATTATAAAAACATCTTATCTTATTAAGCAAATAATGTGCTTACAGTATAATAAATATACATATATGTATATATTGATAAACATATATACGATAAGCAAAACTGTTTCACTTACCATGTATAACTAGCTGGGAATCGTAATTCATCTCGTATAATCGTATGGCTTCATTCAGTTCCATGTCCGTTGATATGGTGCACGGGTCATTCTCCTCATCGACCCACTTGATGGTAAAAGGCTATAATAGACAGCAAAACACAATTACAATGACATCAACATATAGATGAATACGAATATAATCTCAATCACCTGATCGATGGGAAAGCGACAAATATTGCGTATCTCATAGCATAGATCCTCGTAGGTAATGTTCTTGTCTATGGTCGTTATGATCACTTGACCATTGTAGGCAGTCTTCACTGTAATGGCATTTGGGGAAGCGCCCAGCAATGAAGCCGCATTGTTCAAGCTGCCAGACCCACTGCCATCGTTTAAAATTTGCGAGGGCATTTTCTGCATTGGGACGGAAACGTACAGAACGACAATTGAGACGGAGGCGTGAACTTATTGTCCGTAAAATTTATTGAGCGCTTCTTTCAATATATAGATATATTTATTATCCTTAAAGTTGTAG